AAGCCGGGCGGGAGCTCCAGTCATTCCACACATAGCTGGAGCCCGGGGGGGGGGGGGGATCCAAGGGGAGGGGGAAATCCAAGGGGAGGGATCCGGCCATTCCACATGTAGCTGGGACTCAGCAGGGCCTGAAGGGCAGTGGGCTTGGGGGAGGGGGCTGGAATTCAGTGAGCTGTGTGACCGGCTCCGGGCTGGGGTCCGGCGTGGACTGGTGGTGGGGATCCTGGTGGTCGTGGGTCTGGTGCAGTGGCCGAGGGGTGGGTATTCCAGCATGGTGTGGGTCTCTGGGCTGGAGGCTGGTGCAGCTGAGGGGCAGGTGTCCCACCGTGTGTGGGTCTGGCACAGGGCTGTGGCCTGGCACAGCCTGAGGGGCGGAGAGCTCTGTAGACCTATGGGGTGGGGATTTTGCAGGCCGGCTGTTCTTTTATTAGATAGTGGCGTGGAGAAGCCTTCCACGATCTAAGTGTTTAGAGGGCCCTGTTTTTGGCTCTTCCTGGTGCTTTACCTCAGGAGTGTCTCCAGCTTCTCGGCAGGGTCTTTGGGTCAGGAGTTCAGGAGGTCTGCTGCTCTGTCTCCCTCACCATCTTGGATCTTGGAATAAATTTTGAAATCAGGAATTTTGAGTCCTCCAAATTTATTTTTCTTTTTCTGGATTATTTTAGCTATTCTGCATCCCTTGGATTTCCCTATGAGCTTTAGGATTGATTTATCAATTTCTATAAAAAAGGCACCTGGGATTTTAGAGGGATTGCATTAAACATAGGGATCAGTTATGGAATCTTGCTAAATAACACTATCAAGTCTTCCAGTTTATGAACATGAATGTCTTTCAATTTATTCGTCATCTTCAATTTCTTTCCATTTTTAAATACGTTTACAATATGGAAGTCTTGCTCTTCTTTTTGTCTAATTCTTAAGTATTTTATTAATTTTGGTACTGTTATAAGTGGGATTATTTTCTTAAATTCATTTCAGGTTGCTTTATTATTAGTGTATAGAATACAATTATTTTTGTATAAGTATATTTATATATTGAATTGTATAACTTTGTTGAATTACTTGATTAGTTCTAATTGATTTTTTGTTGATTTCTAGAACTTTCTATATAATGGTCATACCATCTGTGAATAGCAATTGATTTACTTCTTCCTTTCCAGTCTCAATTTCTTTCTTTTCTTCCTTTTCTTGTCTAATTGCCTTGACCAATGCCTCCATTATAGGTGGCTGTGTATCACCCTTTTGAAAGGGTGATAGGGTATGGAATATTTTCTACCCTTCAGTATTGGAGTATGAGGCTTTGTGAAATTGGCACCATCATATCTGTTGGATAGTGATTGGGGCTGTTCTGATTTATTATAAAAAATGGAATTTTTTTGTGTATTGATTGAAGAATAGTTTCACATCTTCTGTATTTTTTTTTTTCAGGTTTTCTCAAACAGTGATGAAGGCCTTATTAACAAAAAGTTGCCCAAAGAACTTCTCTTAAGGTAAGTGTAGATTAAGTATTAGATAGAGTTCAGATTTGGTTTAGCCTTCAAGTTCCAAGACTATCTTCTTTCTCACTATGAGCCCACATCTAGAAAGAGAGACAGAATTAGCCTAACTGACTTTTTGTTTTTGTCTTATAGAATGCTGTTCAACTTGTTGTTAAATTTTACTTGGTCTAATCCAGAGTGTACTAAGTATGTACATAGCATTGGTCTGGATTCTTTTTGTAATGTGGTGAGTACTGTAATAATCTCAGTAGGTGCTGCATTTGGTATGAGTAGATTATTGTAATGGAGTCAGCAGGATGAGGAAAGATTATTGCTAAAGTTGTGACCTGAAGACAGAGAGTTTTAGGTGTTTTCTGACAGATGGGCTCTAAAATAAATACAAAAAATAAATACAGTTATGATCTTACTGGGCATTCAAGATGCTGTCAGCCTCAGATACTGAATGTTTTTATCCATTTTGTGAGAAGTATGTGCAGAGTGACAGTACTATAAAACATGTCTTTTGGCTTTTATTTCTGGCATTATTGAATGTACAGTAAATGTTATTTTGGTTGCCATTTCACCAAATAAATCTATCAACCAACAATTGTTGACCCTTAGGCATTATGGCTTTCTTTAGTATTCTGCAGTCATCAATCAATCTTATTTTAGTTTTGTATGCTGTTACATCTTAATTCTTTACAAATAATTTATTATGTGTGGTAATCTTTGAGTAGCGTTTATCTTCTCTTTGGTATTCCACAAACTAAACAAAACCAGTTTTATGATCAAATAAATAAGGGAAGTTCTGAGTTAACAAAAGCAAATTCTTTACTATAGTACTTCTTAGAGCCATAATAGGTGAATGTGTACGGTGATGCTCCAAGTTGAGTAGTTTTGGCATTCAAACAAATTGACTATGGAACCTTTTCAATACTCCATGAAGATTTTTAGGAAATGCTGGTGTGCTGTAAAGGAGGACCAGATGACTCCACACCCTTGCTGTAGTGAATCCCATTTTAACACTTCATGAATGAGAATGAGTTTTAGTTAAATTGGGAGTAGTTCTTTTAGCTCTTCCTGAGTTCACCACAGAGTCACTCTGTAAAGGCTATAGTACTCAACTTCTGCCGTCATCAGAGTCAGAAACAGAATGAGGACTTAACTCCTTGTGGTGTTGAGTGTTTGGAGTGTTTCAGAGTCATAAGGTGGTGTTTGGCACTGTTGTCATGAGCTCATTCTGTTCAGTTACTAAAAAAAAAATTAATGCAGGATTGTATGAAAAAGATCAATCATATTTTGTTCTAATAAAACAATTATTTGGACAAGAGAATAGTCTTTGGTAACTTAGACCATTTTAAACTAAGGCAGTGGGAGACAAAGAAGGGATGCATGTTTATCATATAAACCTGCAAGGCTTTGGTCAAGCACAGGAAGCTGTTGGAACCACTATGGCTGAGTCAGGGTGGACAGATGTCACAGTGCAGGGGGTACTTCCACCAGACTACATTATGGATAAGGTCTCCTAGAATGACACAGTGCTCCCAGCCTCAGTGTGAACGCTTTTGTAGCACAGGCATCAAACTGCTATGTGAGTATGGCATTTTTACTCTGTGGAATTAAAAGCAGCTTCAGTGAGCCAACATATGAGACATTCAACAGGAGAGTATGATTAAACTCCACCCTTCTCGTGAATATTACCTCTGTTTGTGACTCAAGGCTATTAATTTAATGCGTTTCTTCTTCTGATAGGGTTACATGTTATACTCGGCCATGGAATAGTTTCTAGCTATTGTTATGAAAAAAAAGAAATTAAATCATTTTTTGTGGTACTGTGATTTTTGAACTTCAGTCTTAGAAATTTCAGTTCTTTTAAAGGTCCATGATGAACCCCACTGTTAAGAATCCTGAGGGCTGGGCATGGTGGCTTGTGCCTGTAATCCCAGCTACTTGGGAGACAGAGATCAGGAGGAATGTGGTTTGAGGCCAGTCCATACAAAAAGGTCTCAAACTTGTCGTCCCAGCCACACTGGAGGTGTAAATAGAATTGCAGTCCATGCTGGGACTGGGTATAAAGTGAGACTCTGTTCAAAAACTAAAGCAAAAAGGGCTGGGGGCATAGCTCAAGTAGTAAAGTACCTGCCTAATAAGCACAAGACCCTGAGTTCAAACCCCAGTACTGCAAAAAAAAAGAATCCTGGACATTGTCATCACTAATTACTGCTTTTGAATCATGCCACAAGGCTCAACATAGATCATTTTTCAGAAAGAATTGCCATTTGAGAACAACTGTTCGTGTCTTTTCATAGGTCTGCATTTCTACTTCTGTTCTTACTTTGGAGTCTGTAAGGGTAATTTAAATTTTAAAGTACTGCCATGACAATTCTTTTCTGACTTGTAAGTCTCAAAACTAACTAGCCAACCATGGGGTTTTAATTTTTTTTGCTGCTTTAAAATATTTTCTGCTATTAAATCATAGAATGTCCATTCACACTAAATAGCTCTCTCTATTCACACTACCTACCTAGCCAGCCTTTTTTTGGTTTTTGGTGGCACTGGGGTTTGAACTCTGGACCTCTTGCTTGCTAGGTAGGTGCTCTACCACATGAGCCACTCTGCCTGCTCCCTGATCAGTCTTTGAAGAAAAGTCTGAACCAGGTACCCTATGCAGCCACTTCATCATTGCTTAATTTCATGACAGCAGATACAACAGTCCCTTTTTCATGGACCTGAAGTCTCAGTTGTTTTTTGCTAAGTTAAATGATGCCTTCATACTTCTAGTTGTCTTTGCATTATAACCTTCTTTGTGACAGTTGAACTCCTACTCACCTTCAGTCTCACTTCATCAATAATTGTGATTCTCTGCCTTTTTGTAGTTGTACTTGCTCACAGATCAGGTCACTTTCTCTTCTGCCATTTCTTACTGCATCTGTGAACATTCTCAACTAACTTTTATTTCTGATCACATCAGGTAAAGTCTTAGCTTCCCCTCTGGGATCATCAGCAATCTTAGCCTAGAATCATGTGCTTCTTTTTATCTCTTTAATATCACCTTTTTTTTGTGTCAGGGTCTTGCTGTGTAGTCCAGAATGTCCTTGCACTTGTGAACCTTTTACCTCTACCTCGAGTTGCTAGAATTATAGATATGCACCACCACTCCTAGCCTTCCAGGATTCACTTTGGCTTCACTAGAAAAATCAGTGTTTCCTTTATCTAATCATTTTATTGCTAAATTTAGGAATGCTTAATGTTATTAATGTTTAATGTTATTTTTAGTTTGCAACTAAGTTTTTATAATTTTCCCTTTTCTACCTGGCTTTCATTCATAAATTAAACATACTCAAGTTCTTTCTGCCCTTTTTTCTCACATATGTCAACAAACAGTTGGACTTTTGCTCTCACTGGGGAGTCACTTACATATTGATTACAGTGATGGGAATATTTGATTGTTGTAATCTCTGTCTATTAGTGAGATAGGTTGTCGTTGCATATATTTACCCACACCACTATTGTCTACGTTATTTTTGGAGCCAGATTTTCTTTTTTTCTTTTTTCTTTTGAGGTACTGGGGTTTGAACTCAGGGTCTCATGCTTTTTAGGCAGGCGCTGTACAACTTGAGCCACTCCACCAGGCCTACTTTGTATTGGGTTTTTTCAAGATAGGGTCTCGAGAACTGTTTGCCCAGGCTGGCTTTGGACTTTGATCCTCCTGCCTCCTGAGTAGCTAGGATTATAAGCATGTGGCACCCATGCCCCACCTGGAGCCAGATTTTTTGGGTTGGGATTTCAGCCTTTCTTTTTGTTAGTGTGTGACCTTGTAAAGTTAATTAATTCTCTTGACCTTAATTTTCTCATCTGTAAAATGGGAATAGTAATAGCTCTTATGGGGTTGTTACCATGTAAGAAGTATTAAATGTTAGCTCTTACTGTTATTTATACTAGTTTTGGATGTGTGAATAGTTAATAAATGCTATTTGTTGATGCAGTCTGTTTTATTGGAAATAATTGATAAATCAAAGTGTCTCAAAATGGATCTGAGTAGATGCTACTCCTAGCACTATCTCAGTAAATAGCCTGGTTATTAAGGAAGGTTTATTTTGCCTGGTGCTTCATTTCATCAAGCTGGACTAATTTGTTCTCAGTGGGAAAATACATCCTGCCATTTTCTATTAAACACCAACTACTAGGACTTAAGCAGACTGGTGCTGGTATTGTGACAACTGATTATTTTGTATTATAAAAAAGTTCTGATGGAATAATTTCCTTTCAGAAAAAAGTTATTTTTTTTGAGTTGAATATTGGCCTAAAGCTCATGTTCATAAATTTTAATATGTTTGACCGTAAGTTTTAATTTCTATTGAAACGTTACCTCCTGAGGCTTACGATATTTGTGGTGAACAGTTTAAAACATTCTGTGAAGACAAAGCTCTATAATCATAAGGAATCATGAAAGAAACTTGTTGTGAGACACATTTTTAAAAGTTAAATAACCATGATTTAGGCAATTTTCTTTCCTTTTTAAGCTTTTGTGGCTACATGACCAAATAAAGTGCTTAATGTTTATCGGCTTGATGAAGGCAGATTTGATTGCCTTAAATGAGAAAGCTGAGACTAATAATTCTGGGTGACACAAAATTAACAGAGTAATTCCATATACTTTGACAGTTTTAATAGTTGAGTTTGCCATGGTAAATTATAAAATGATTAGCACATAAATTTTCAGATTTTTCTGTTCTAAAATTTATAAGCCAATCCCATAAGTGAAAATAATTGTGGTTTTTGTTGGAATTATTAAGGTCCAGCCCACTTATGTGTAACGTGGGACCCTGGCGAGCAATGCAGTAAAGGGCCCATTCCTGTTTTGGGTGTCATTGAGTGGGTGTTCTTGCCTGCTGGTTGGTTTCAGCACTCCATGGACTTTTTCAAGGACTGGTGCCTGTACTTCCTGCTGTCTCTGATGCCTGCTGCCCTATATATATTCCAGGGCAGACAAACAGGTAAGACGCTCTTTT